TTCAGGAGCAACAGTGACCTCTTCTTTGAAGGTTTCTCCAACCTCTGGTTGAGTCTCTTCAGGACCTTCAGTGGTAATTATAACCTCTTCTTTGGAGGTTTCTTCAACTTCAGGCTTAATCTCTTCAGGGCCTTCAGAAACTATTGTGATCTCTTCTTTGAAGGTTTCTTCAACTTCTGGTTGAGTCTCTTCAGGACCTTCAGAGGTAATTGTAACCTCTTCTTTGAAAGTTTCTTCAACTTCTGGTTGAGTCTCTTCGGGACCTTCAGGAGCAACAGTGACCTCTTCTTTGAAGGTTTCTTCAACCTCTGGTTGAGTCTCTTCAGGACCTTCAGTGGTAATTGTAACCTCTTCTTTGAAGGTTTCCTCAACCTCTGGTTGAATCTCTTCGGGTTCTTCAGAGGTAATTGTAACCTCTTCTTTGAAGGTTTCCGCAACCTCTGGTTGAATCTCTTCGGGTTCTTTAGGAGCAACAGTGACCTCTTCTTTGAGGGTTTCTTCAACCTCTGGTTGAGTTTCTTCAGAACCTTCAGAGGTAATTGTAACCTCTTCTTTGAAGGTTTCTTCAACTTCAGGCTTAATCTCTTCAGGGCCTTCAGAAACTATTGTGATCTCTTCTTTGAAGGTTTCTTCGACTTCTGGTTGAGTCTCTTCGGGACCTTCAGGAGCAACAGTGGCCTCTTCTTTGAAGGTTTCTTCAACCTCTGGTTGAGTCTCTTCAGAACCTTCAGAGGTAATTGTAACCTCTTCTTTGAAGGTTTCCTCAACCTCTGATTGAATGTCTTCCAGTCCTTCAGGAGCAACAGTGACCTCTTCTTTGAAGGTTTCCTCAACCTCTGGTTGAATCTCTTCGGGTTCTTCAGGAGAAACAGTGACCTCTTCTTTGAAGGTTTCCTCAGTCTCTGGTTGAGTCTCTTCAGGACCTTCAGAGGTAATTGTAACCTCTTCTTTGAAGGTTTCCTCAACCTCTGGTTGAATCTCTTCGGGTTCTTCAGGAGCAACAGTGACCTCTTCTTTGAAGGTTTCTTCAACCTCTGGTTGAGTCTCTTCAGGACCTTCAGAGGTAATTGTAACCTCTTCTTTGAAGGTTTCTTCAACCTCTGGTTGAATGTCTTCCGGTCCTTCAGGAGCAACAGTGACCTCTTCTTTGAAGGTTTCTCCAACCTCTGGTTGAGTCTCTTTAGGACCTTCAGTGGTAATTATAACCTCTTCTTTGAAGGTTTCTTCAACCTCTGGTTGAATGTCTTCCGGTCCTTCAGGAGCAACAGTGACCTCTTCTTTGAAGGTTTCCGCAACCTCTGGTTGAATCTCTTCGGGTTCTTCAGGAGCAACAGTGACCTCTTCTTTGGAGGTTTCTTCAACTTCAGGCTGAATCTCTTCAGGGCCTCCAGAAACTATTGTGATCTCTTCTTTGAAGGTTTCTTCAACTTCTGGTTGAGTCTCTTCAGGACCTTCAGAAGCAACAATGACATCTTCTTTGAAGATTTCCTCAACTTCTGGTTGAGCGTCCACTGTTTCTCGAGTTTCCTCAATGATTTCGTCAGTTGGTCTTCCAACTTCAACAACTATTTCTTTAGGTTTATCTTCTGTTGGAATTTCTCTGTCAACTTCCTCAGTAATGACTGATTTCTGAATTGTTTCTTTTGTTTCTTCAACAATTTCTTGAGAAGGAGCCATGATTTCAACCTCAGTAGTTTCCGAGGGTTTCTCTTCCTCAGGGACCTCTTCTTGATCAAGTGTAATCTGTTCAGTAACAGTTTCTGTAATTGTCTCTTCAGTGACGACTTGAGTATCTTCAGGAATAGTCAACTGGATCTCCTCTGGAACTGGTTTCTCCTTTGGAGCTATGGTTATCTCCTCTTTGTGAAGCTCAGTTTCTGTGACTTCATCAGGAGTTTCCTCTGTTTCAATGACAATCTCCTCTTTATGTGTCTCAGTCTCCTGAACATCCAGCTCAGAAATCTCTTCTTCTGGTTTATCTGACTTGACAGAAATGTCCAACTGAACTTCTTCAGTGTCTGGTTTCTCTTTGGGAGATATAACAATCTCTTCTGTATGAATCTCAGATTCAGACACGGTCTCTTCAGGAGCTTCAGAATCAATTGTGATCTCTTCTTTGAAAGTTTCCTCAGTCTCTGGTTGAGTCTCTTCAGGACCTTCAGAGGTAATTGTAACCTCT